ATATTTATCTTTCAGTTAGTCTTTTGCTATGTTTAACTATTATTAAGTATGGTTATCTTTTAATACTGATCTGCTATTTTAGTCAGCATTTTGCAGATTTTTGCTAGCTTTTTGTTATATCTGGCTTCTTGCTACCATTTTATCTTAGCTTTTATTTAGCCTTTTACTACATTTATTTTTCAGATAACCTTTTGATGCTTGTAGCTATTGGCTATCTTTTTATTATGGTTAGCTTTTAGTACTGATGTGCTATTTTAACTAGCATTTTGCTGATTATTTTTTTTACACTTTTAAGTTTTTGTGTTACTTCTGGCTTTTAGCTACCATTTTTATTTTAGCGTTTAGCCTTTTATTGCATTTCTCTTTCACCAGCTTTTGCTATGGTTATCTTTTAATACTGATCTGCTATTTTAGCTATAATTTTGCTGATTTCWTTTGCTGACACTTTATTCCTAGCTTCTAGTTACCATTTCTCTTTTAGTATTTTAGGTAGCCTTAAGCCTTTTGCTACTTTTTAGCCGACATTTTGAGAACTTGGCTTCTGTTTTGCTACTTTAGTCTTAGCTTTTAATTAATGTTTGGCTACTTTTGGTTTATAYCTATCATTTTGCTTTTGTAGACTTTAAGTTTATGTTTTTGTAGCTCTTAGCTGGTGACTTGCTTCTTTTTAGCACAATTTTAGCTTCTGAAATGGTCCAACACTTTGCCTTCACGCTGCCCTTTTGTTTCTAAGTTTTCCACAGAACYGTCTTTAGAAGATCTGAACAGTCACTATGACCTTAATAAAGGCACTGAAAAACAAAATGTAGATATTTTTGGCATGGTGAATTTTGTGTGTTTTGAAGCTCAGCTGAATCCACACAGTGTGAGATTCAGTTCAACCCCGACTCTATCAGCGGTGACCCCAACTTTACCTGCTGACATATAAAGTCGCAGACYACAAAAAGCCCTGTCAGACGTGCCAGCTCCTCCTTGGCCCTGAGGATCCTCTCTCCATTATTCATGAGCGCTCAGGTTGGACCCTGGGAACAAGCTGAACGAGGCGCTGTGTCAATACGTAACACTGGCCGCCACAATGAGCTCGGCCTCCAACTACACTGTTGACAGACACCAGCACAAAAGAGCTGAAAGGGGGTCCCCCTCCGTTCTCACACACACCGAAGAATGAGTCAGTGTGCTGCCACTCGGAGCTCTGTTTGTACAGTATATACAGCCTTTGTCCGCCGCCTCTSTTCTCCCACCAATGGGGCCTGAAGTGTTGATGAAAACCAGGGAGAAGGGACTTCTCTGTGGGTGCCAGCAGGAGTTCATGTTCATTAGATGAGCTCTGCGCCTGGTGGGAAGCACCTGTATGACAGAACAACAACTTATCAGCTTATTGGATTGTAAACAACATTTCGTGGTGCATCGCAGCAAAGCCTCTGTGACGATCGCATCATTACTGCTGAACACATGGTCCATGAAATCAAATACTGCAGTACATACTGTATACAGCAGGTAAAATAAGTATTGAACACGTCACCATTTTTCTCAGTAAATATGTTACTAGAGGTGCTAATGACATGAAATTTTCACCAGCTTATTGGATTGTAAACAACATTTCATGCTGCATCGCAGCAAAGCCTCTGTGACGATCGCATCATTACTGCTGAACACATGGTCCATGAAATCAAATACT